CCAGTTTCTTCATATCATTCAAACTTTTAACTGCATCGGGGGGTTTATTCATATGTTAAGTGGGAAGCAGTAATTGCCAATATGAATTAAGTTCTGTAAAGGATGCAAAATATCCCCAGTGAAATAGCAAATGTACTGTTAGTACTAGGAAGATCACTGTCCATATGTTGAAGTACCTTTCTTTTCCCCACACAGAAGGTCAGATTGTAAAATGTTTGGGGCAGGGGCCTATCTTGTTTTGCTGAGGAAAGACTCTAAAGCACTGCATACTTCAGGGATCTCCAGTGTGACACCTGTGGGCACCATAGGTCCCTCCAACACCTTTCCTAGCACTTGCCAAGTATTTTTAGAAAGCAGACTAGGCCAGGTGGGGCTTTTCTAGGGTTGCCAAGTTGTAATTAAGCCGCAGCAGGGGACTCCTGGGTTTCTCCTGGAGCACGCTCGCGCCGCGAGCACATCACCCGGAAGTGATGCGGCCGCATCAGGCACGATGGGGGCAGGGCTGCGGACATCTTCCCTCAGATGATCACAGCCCTGCCCCTGGCACGCCCGGCGTGGCTGCGTCACTTCCGGGTGACGTGCTGACGCTAGGCACGCCCCGTGCTTTGGGGGTGAGGTTCCCACTGGGGCCCGATCCATCGGTGGTAGGGAACGGGCCTCTGGGGCGGGGGTTTCCCTGCCTCCTGAGGGGACTTGGCAAGCCTAGGTTTTTCGCAGGCAGGGCATCTGACCAGCTACTGGAGATCTGATTGGCTGTGCAGATTAAAAGGCATCCTGTTAGACAGAGCTTCTGCCTGAAATGTTGAAGAGCTACTATATGAGTTTGATGCCTGACAATTTTGTGGTTTACTCCATCTCCTACGCCAGCCATTTTGTCATTACACCTGTATCAGAATTCCAAAGGTGCCCACATGTTCAAAAATATTTGTCCCCTGGTGTACATTTTTGACATGTATCGTTAATCCATTTTTATGAGGTGGGAAAAGGACTGTTGTGAGGCAATTGAGGTGAAAGGTGAAATGTGCAAAACAGAATTGTCAAGGAGGACATTCTTGTAGAAGGAGCCAGGCTGTGGTGTAATGGCTCAAGTCACAAGGTGACTTTTGTTTATGTATTTATAATGTATCGATGCCGCCTTTCTACCCAAATAGGGTCCTCAAGGTGGCAAACATTAGAACAGAGCCACCACAGGTGGGCGCCCCCACAGAGAATGTGTGAGTATGGGCAGTTGCTAGTCTTATCTGTTTGTAGGCTGGGACCTTCAGAAGCTGTCAGATGATCAAAGCAAAGCAAGATAACTAGCACCTTGAATTGAATTTGGTAAATGATCAATAACCAATGAAGTGTCTGCAGAATGTGTATGTCATGCATGTTCCAGCTGGCACGCGATAGTAATGGAGATGCAATGTTCTTTACTAGGAGGAGTTTCTGAGTTAATGGTAGACTCATAAGTCACTGCTCAATTCTTCAGAATCTGAAGAAGTGAGCAGTGACTCACGAAAGCGCATACCCTGCCACGTATTTTGTTCCTCTTTAAGGTGCTACTGGACTCTTGCTCTTTTCTACTGCTACAGACAGGCTAACAAGACTACCTATCTTGGTAGACTCATGTACAGTACATTGCTCCAGAGGTCCCCAACCTTTTTGAGCCTGTGGGCACCTTTGGAATTCTGACACAAGGTGATGAGCAAAAAATGGCTTCCAAAGGAGGTAAAGCCAACCACAAAATGGCTGCCATAGGAGGCAGATCAAAACACAAAAATGTCAGGGAGTGAGGTTATACATAACTCTAACAGTAACTCTTCAACAGTTCAGGGAGGAGATTTCCTCACCAGGATGCTTTTTAGAATGTGAATGTATTGTTTTAAAATCTTATCTTGCATACACACAGCTTACCTTCAGTTATGCAGTGAAGATCTTTGTGCTGTCATGGCAGCTGTTGCTGAAGACATTTTTTTAAAAAAATCTGCATAGCCAATCAAATCTCCAGTGGCCAATCAGAGGCCCCAGCCCACCTTTCTAAAAACACTTGGTGGGTGCCAGGAAAAATGTCAGTGGGTGATAAGACACACACTGCACTGTAGCATGTATTCATGAGGCCAGATCAGTCAACTGAAGGTAGAAGGCCATCTTCTGAGCTACGTGAAGCTGTAAGAATGAACTGTTTGCAGCTGCATTAACTTCACTAGTAATAAATCTGGATCGAGTATAACCCTAGGCTCTTAACTGAGTCAGCAAGGAACACCTGGGAAGCACAGTGTCTTTCAAGACCTCAGCCTTCCTATCCAGCATTACCTATGTCTTGTCAGGATTCTGTTTCAGCCTGTTCACCCTTAGCCATTTAATCACAACAATAAAGCCCCTCGTTCAGGATCTGTACAGCATCACCAGATGATCTGGATAAAGAAATATAGAGCTGGGTGTCATCACTATATTCATGACAGCCTACTCCAAAACTATGGGGGGCTGTTCCCCTAAAAGGACAATGACTTCTGGTGATGGCCACAAACACTGCAAGCTTTAGATGGGGATTAGATAAATCCATAGAGAGTAGGTTTATCATTGGCTAGTAGCCATTGTAACGAAAGCGAGACCCCCGTATTCAGAGGCAGTAAACCTCTGTATACCGGCATTGGAAGCCAACTTTAGCCAACTTTAGAGGTCTCTATGCCCTGCCTTCTGTTAGCCCTCCAGAATAACCAGTTGGCTACTGCATAAGATAGGATGCTGGACTAGGTGGACCAATAGTCTGACCCAGCAAGGTTCCTTACATTATTTCCAGACATTTTATTGCTGTTTCCATGGCTAGTATTCCAGTGCTATCCCAGCTGCCTCCCTCTTCAGTGCTACAAGAGACAACTGCAACTGAGTGTTGAGCTCTTGCTTGCAGCTGCTTCTATCCACTCGAACATGCCGGACATTTTGTGTCTCAACTACAGTGGATGAGGTGGTGCTTGCAGCTATGAAACAATGGCCTGCATTAAAGAGTAAGAAGAAGCAACTCATGCAGTTGCAGTATCTGAAATGAGAAATGCAGTGCTGTTGCAGCTGCAGCAAGCTCTTCTGGTCCCAGGAAAGAACCTGCTCATGCAAACTGGGGCAGCTGGGTGGCTTGACCGTGCCTGTGTTGTACAAATGTAACCCTTGGTAGGGAGGAGCATGTTGCCTTTTTGTCAATCTCATCAATCAAATGTCTTCAGAACCAAGATTTTGGATTCACAACGGCAATATCTTTTCATAAGGATAAAGCCTGGAATGCTCTCTTGAAAAAGATTGGGTTGATGAACTGAAAACATACCATGATGGTGATATTGTGCAGTTATCAATCCATTTGCATGTCCATTCCAGTGATGCCCTTCATTCCCTGTTGTTTAATGGGCCTGTTCCCTGCTCTTATAATGAGTTCTCAGAACTGTGCTAATGAAAAGTGACCAGGGACAAGGCAGGCTGTGTGTATCGTGTCACTTCCCACTTTGTGGCCCTTTATTGCTTCCTGTTGTGCTAAAATATTGGTCCTTAAGGATAATTTAATTAAATGCTGCATTTGATTACCCTGAAACCCCACCATAATAAAATAAAATAAATGCAGAGTTCTTCTGAGGACTGGCCTATTTTTTCCTCTGTTTTGTGCTTGGATTGCATTTACATCAATACTTGTTATCCACATTTTTCAATGTAGCACACCTGAAGTGCTTTCCACTCACCCCATCATCCCCAGCATTGCTGTGGTGCCTGCAGAACAACATCCCACAGAAACATGCTGTCGAGTGCTCTTCTTTGGCCGTAAAACAACCTTGGGTATCTCCAAAGTGTTTCAATAATGCTTTTTTTCTCCCTCCTCGCCTCTCCTCCTAGGATGTAATTGGAAAAGCGCTGCGGTATATTGGAACATATGGAGAGCTCAGTAATACCGAGCAAGTTGTGGCTCTGATTGATGAGGAAATGTGTATCAACTGTGGCAAATGCTACATGACCTGCAATGATTCCGGCTACCAGGTAAGAGCACAGCTGTAATTAGCAAAAAAAGCAACTGTGAGTTATCTTTTTGCTGCTGAGGCAGGAGGAATCTACTGTCTGCTTGAAGGGGATGAGGGAAAAGGAGATTTACAAGATACTGGAAATTAACACTGGCACACTCCCAGGTAAAGACTGCATGAATTGTGTCCAATCCATTCACAGTGGTTGTCAATAAAGCAGGGTTCTTAGTGGCTTGGGATGCACACAGTGCTCTTGCCATCCACTAACAACTATTCTGCACAGAATCTATTGCTGGGCTGGCATGTTCTTCCCAGCATTGCGTGTTGTAATAAAGTGATATAGGCTGATGCGTTCAAATCTTACTTAAGCTAAATAGAGATTTTTCGGGGGCTCCCTGTGATGGTCTATCTATTTAAATTAATTCAGAGCCTTAGATTTGAAAATGGCCTTATAGGCCACCCAATCCCCTGCACAATGCAGGAAATCTAGCTAGAGCATTCCTGACAGATCACTGACCAGGTTCTGCCTGAGGACTTCCAGTAAAGGGGAGCCAACCCAACCCCTCACTTAACTGGTTCCATTGTCGAGTGGCTCTTGAGGAAAATTCTCCTCCAGTTCAATGGACATCTGCTCTCCCAAAACTCAAGCCTGTTTGGTCAAGTCTTTCCCTCTTCCATGTGGCAGCTCTTGAAGTGTTTGAAGAGCACAATCATGTCTTCCCTTGGTTTAAATTAAGCTTTCATTCTCAGACTACATGAAGGTAGAGTACTCTTAAGCTGGTACAAGATATTGCCAAGTAGGGATGGGCATGAACCAGCTCATGAGCCAAAATCTGGCATGAACTTGGGCCGGTTTGGAACTCCTGAACCAATGTTCACGGAAGGCGCCTTCCCCAAACATTTACCAAACTTTTGTCCAGTTTGATGCTGCTGTCTGGACCATGTAAACCTAACAGCTGCGCTGCACAAGTCTGCAGCTGCCCTGTTAGGTTTAAATTGCTCTGAGCCATTTCACTGGTTGGTTTTGCTTACCCTAGCTTCCAAGTGGGGGGAAGTAAAATGGGCCGGTGAAATGGCTGCCAGCCATTTCAGACTAACAGTTGATGGGTGCACCTACCCACTGTTAGGTTGAAATGGCTGTGAGGCATTTCATGGGTCAGTTTTGTCCCCCCCCCCCCACACACACACTTCAAAGTGAGGGGGCAGCAAAACTGACCTGTGAAATGGCTGCCAGCCATTTAAACCTAACAGTGGCATGGGTCCACCTGTCAGCGGTTAGGTTTAAATAGCTGCCAGCTCAGGAGTTCCCCCCCCCGAACTCACCAGTTCAGTTCAGGCCCTTTTGGCTCGGTTTGGGGGCCACCCCAAACCAGATCTTTTTATGTTTATGCCCATCCCTATTGCCAAGTTTCCTCTTTGGTAATAGTCTTTGGCCTAGAAACCCTTCAAGAAGCCTAGATATGTATGATTTTCCTTGGTAAACCCTTTCTAGTTTTCGTCCTCTCTCAGTCAGCATTTCAAACTGGCAGCAACCTGAAGTCTTGCCAGTGTATCACTTTTCCCTTTGCTGTCTTGGTCAGACCTGATTTGTATGTTCTTGTAAAGTTAGCTGGCAGTGCACATGCTATCCTCAGTGCCTGCAAGCAACAAGCAAGCTGTTTGTAAAGTTCATTTTTAGATATCAGAGGTTACTGCAAATCAAGGCCTGAAGCTGAACAGCCTGTCGGAGTCCACAGAGCTATTTCCCAAGAAAAGGATTAATGCAAGTAAACAGGAAGTTTAAAACAAGTTTCACACAGCAGAAAACGGTGGAAAGAGAAGATAAGAGCCACCAGTGCTGAGTTTCTTTTACAGATTCTTATTATCAAGGACCATCATAGTCTTATAAAAATATGCTATAATATGTTACAATGACAGTGCTAAAATAATTCAGTTTGGTTTCTAGAGCAATAATGTTGTAATTTTTTAAGAACCTACTATTCATAGTGGGAGCTGCGGTGGCTCAAGTGGTTAAGACGCTGAACTGCAGGCTGTGGAAGGTCAGTAGTTCAGCAGTTCAAGACCCGGGTGCCGCAAGACAGGGTGAGCTCCTGTCTCTAGTTCCAGCTCCTGCCAACCTAGCAGTTCGAAAGCAAGAAGATAAATAGGTACCACTTCGGTGGGAAGGTAACAGCGTTCTGTGCACCTTGGTGTTTAGTCATGCCGGCCACATGACCACGGAAACGTCTTCGGACAGCACTGGCTCTTCGGCTTTGAAACGGAGATGAGCACCACAACCCTAGAGTCGGATTCGACTGGCTTTCGAGCAAGGGAACCTTTACTATTCATAGTACTGTTTAGTTCTATGAAATGAAGCAAAAGAATGCAGATATAACAGCTACCTAAGATGCGTGACAAGAAGTCCAAATAAGGGAAGATATGTTTGTCCACACCAGATATCATATAGTAATGGTTGTTCAACAAATTTCCATTCAAAGTAGTACAAAACAGCCACTCTCTGAGCAAAAGTCCCTGTATCTACTTAATTAATATGTTGAAAGTAGTTGTGAAAGTTTGTCCAGGGATCTCATCCTTTGAAGCTGCTTCCAAACTGGCTGGTGAACATTATAAAGATGATTCTTCTTCTACTTCTTCTGTCTAGTACTGCTCATACAGCTATCACCTTAAGCAGAAATTATGGCCAATTTTTTAAAAAAGATCTTACTCGGTATTATTTCTCTTATATTTGATTATTAACAATGGTTCCTGTACTCCCACGGTTCCCCTTCCTGGCATGTTTCCAAACAGTGTAAGCAATGAACCTCCCAAAGGACTGGACACTGTTGGCATTGTTTGGAAGCACATTAGGAAGCTGGGACATCTGTGTTCCACCCTGGAGAAAAGCCTTTGCAAAAACCCTGACTGGTATGAAAGCTACTGGACTGGAAGCAATGGTCATGATGTACGTATATAGAGAAGCCAAGGGGACTTTTGCAGTCAGGGTGGCTGTATGCCCTGCTTTCCTCCTTGATCTCTGGATCAAGCCCAGGGCTATTTTGGGGCAGGAACGCACAGGAACGGAGTTCCGGCTGGCTCCCGAGCTGGCCATGCCCAGCAGGAACTCATCAGCATAATAGGCCACACCCAACAGCAGAAACTCATTAGGATTGGCTACATTAGGGGTGTGAGGCCTAACATGTAAAGGAGTTCCCGCTACAAAAAAAGCCCTGGGTTTTGACAACAAACAAGGTAAACATAATAAAAAGCAAAAGGTGGGTGTGGCTGGATGACCACACTTCTGGTAACATGGGGGTGTGGCCTAATGTGCTAATGAGCTGTGCTGTCAGGGGTGTGGCCTAATATGCTAATGAGTTCCTGCTGTTGGGTGTGGCCTATTATGCTAATGAGTTCCTGATGGGCTTTTTCTACAAAAAGAGCCCTGATTTCAAGCCAAATAACTTAACCAACAGAGCAGGCCCAGTCTCCTTCTCTCACCAAGGAAAATCAGAGCAACTCTGAGGAAACTGGCATCCTTTAGACAGTCCATCCACTGACAGGCCTTTCGTTTGAGGACTGTAGCCCCTGCACACAGCCTAGGCCTTGGATTGCCAGCTCCTGTGTGGAAAATTCCTGGAGATCTGTGGGTTGTGTCTGGGAAGGGATGTGATGCCATAGTCCACCCTCCATTTCTTCCAGGATAGGGGTAGATTGGGGAAGAGGAAATAGCCTTGGAAAAGGTGCACACTTCAGTACTGCCCCCAAAAGCGGAGACAGGGCAAGGGCTGACTCTTCCTGATGACCATAATGGCCAATCAGCCCCTGCTCCAGGATAACCTTTCTCTGTAGCCTGGAGATCAGTTGTAATTGTGGGAGAACTCCAGGACCTACTTTATGGTTGGTGATCCTATCTATGCCCCTTCATATTAGAATTTTTAGGAACTTACCTAAGATTTTTCAAGCAGACAAGTAAAACGGGAAAGGGTGACTGCACTGTACAAGCCAATTTCAAAAGCTTGCATTGTACAAGTCTGCTCATCAGGGAGCCACGATCATTGGAAGCTCTCTGTCAAATGTATACTCTAGCTAACTCAGATTTGTTACTGTGTAATTTCTGTAATGACGGCCAAGCTCCAGTCAGTGTATTCAGATGGCTTTGGGTACCAAGCAAAAAATAAGGATGACGCTTATGGAAATACATCTGTACCATGAGTGCTTAAATGCCAGTAAATCATTGTGCTATGAAAGATGGACTTCACATAAAAATATCTTTATACGACTTAAAAAGCTGGGCACAATTTGTCCTAAATGCTGATTCTGTTTTTAACTGGGGCAAGGCAGGTGGGGAAAGGGAGATGCATTTTGACTAGGGCATGGTTTGGTTCTGCATTTTTAATTTTTCACAATGCATTATCTTGCCAGTTAAGATCGTTGCTATAGCTGCCGCGCCGCACCAAACAAAGATGTCTCCGAGCACCTCAGCTACAGGAAATGCAGATGCTAAAAATGGGGTTGTTTTTGACCTTTTCTGTGAGTGACATCAGTGCTGTTTATTTCTGCTTGCAGGCTATACAATTTGATCCAGAAATCCACCTGCCCACTGTTGCCGACAGTTGTACAGGCTGCACTCTATGTCTCAGTGTCTGCCCTATTATTGACTGCATCCGAATGGTTTCCAGGACAACACCTTATGAACCAAAGAGAGGCCTGCCCTTAGCAGTGAACCCAGTGTGCTGAGGTGATCAGACCAGCAGTTAAAGTGAACCTTACATTTGCTTGATTCTATTGATTTGCTTTCTAATTAGTACCAGCAACTCCAAAAAGAAAAAGAACCTAATGATGGTAGCCATTATAACACTTGCTGTATCGAGCAATCTCTTGTTTAAACCTTCACACAAAGAGCCGTTTGTCAAATATTAGTTTTTTTGAGAAGTCTAAACTTTTTCTTTCGTCAATTCTTAGTTGCTGTGATAATTTTGATGATTTTTAAAAAAAACAACATACAACATTAGGGGAGATTTTGCTAACCGACTGAACCCAGCATAAAGAAAAACTTAGTTACTAGAGAAACATGGAAAATTATACATTCTATTTCATTTCTAAAACTGTTTTTTAAGATTTAATTAACTGCATAGCGTACAAACAAAGAAATATGGCTCTGTGTGTTTACAAAGAGATATAAAAAGAGATTTAAAATAGTATTTCTGAACTATCAATCAGTTTCAACTGCATCAGCATATGGCACGGTATTACCTTAATTCTCCCTAAATTCAGCTTCTGACAAGGCACTAAAAATAGATTTGCAAACACACTGCACTCTCCAGCGCTTAATGTTGTACAGCAGGTAGTAGCCAAGTTTCTTTGCTTTTGTTCAATGTATTCTTCCAAATGTAAGCATTTGCCCAAGGGCCTGATTGATTTTGGTTACATAAGGTATGCTGCTTGGCAGATGAAATTATTCTCTAGATGGTAGTGGACAATTGTAGGCAGTTCCTCCCGGACTTTGCAGCTCTTGCATACAGTGGCTCGGTTCACACACTGTGCCCAAAGGGCCAGTTGGGGGGAGGAAGGAGGACCATTTGGCTTGGCCTTTAACTCAACGGAGGCCTCAGATTTAGACACTTGTTAATATTCTGCCATTAGTTTCAAGATTTGTTTTTATTTGCATCCAGTGTAATTTTTCAATGGCCTGGAGCCTCAAAGCTGTATGGCCCAGGCTAGCCTGATCTCATCAGATCTTGGAAGCTAAGCAGGGTCGGTCCTGGTTAGTATCTGGATGGGAGACCACCAAGGAAATCCAGGGTTGCTATGCTAAGGAAGGCAATAGCAAACCACCTCTGTTAGTCTCTTGCCTTGAGAACACTTACAGGGTCACCATATGCTAGCGGTGACTTGACAGCACTTTACACATAAACACACACACACATGAGCCTCAAAAGCTGGAAGTGGCCAGGACCTCTCTATACTTCTGCGAGAGCTGGTATACGAAACCTTGATTTTATTAAACTAACTATAGTTCATTTGGCTGCCTGAATGCAAACCTTTCTACTTATAGTTAGCTCGGATCGGTTGGTTTAGGATTTGAAGTTGGTTAATAACCAACCACAGTTAACCTTAACTATGGTTTTGTGTGATATATGGATGTAGATAGCATGTTCACTGGTGACACCTTCCCAGGTTAGAGACAGAAGGCAACAAAACCATCATGTGTCAAGGTAAGCCAAGATAGGAATGATTGTGAGCTGAATCCTGCTTTCATAAACTTACCATCATTAAAGTAAGCCATGGCTTCACATGGTCTGACCTGAGCTAGTGATAAGCATAACCTGGGCACTAAGGGTTGGATCCAGGCTAAATTAGCAATTTCCACTGATTCCCCCTTACTGCTGCAGACCCCGCTCATGTCAGTCCTCAGGATCCCCTGTCCCTCCAGGAGTGGCATTGGGTGGAGTTCAGTGGGCTACAGTGAGAGAAGGGAAGCAGGAAAATTCTGTTCCGCAAATGGAAAATTTAATCTGGATCTAGCCATAAGGAAGCAGTGGTGGTCATAACACCTTGTATCATCCAAAGTAGAAGCCATGTGGCACATACTAAAAAGTTTTCTTATCACACAGACTCAGTGTGTATCTCTATAAACTTCTACTGAGCCATCCCCTTTGACCATCACCAGGCAAGCAGTCTCTGTGTGGAGTGAACATTATGGTATCCATCCTCCTGGGAAAACATAAGACTAATGACACTCACCCACTGATCTGTGCCTCTTCAGTTCCTTGATATCTAGCCTGTTTCCACAAAGAGCATGAACATACTATGCACCAAATAGCTTGCAAAGTGACAGCCCTCTAGAGGACTGAAAGTGAGATGCAGGAGGGGCTGACATTGTTGGAAAAGCTCAGACATGTTACTATATATCCTATGTGATGGCACCATTGTTGAAGCCAATAGGGTTGCACTGAAGTCAGTAGGGATCCCCCACATCCACAGAGCCTTGTCAATGTGCTCTGCCCAGTTTCCCCCCCACAACTTCATAGTAAGAGTAACTGTCTATGTGGCTGTGGGGAAAACACACTGAAATTATGCACGCATTCTAAAGCTCTGGGAAGGTATCTTACTAGCTTTTTAATGGTCAGCTTCTGTTTTATGAATAGTTTTTATGTCCAAAGACTTGTGTTTTAATGGCTTATGTTTTAATATTGTGTTGTTATAATTGTAAGCCACCTCAAGCTGGACTCTGAAGAGGCAGTACCAAAATACTCAAATAAATAAGAGCGATACCAGCAGCTAACATTTCTAAATAACATTTTGAGTACATAAGAAATATTTATAAACTGGGAATGTATAACTAAAAATGGCCTTTGCAATACATGGCAATGATATATTTACAACTATTTACCCAAGAAATTTAATCCAAATTTGGTTGTGTGTTTGTTTACAGTATAATTACAGTAAAAGAGATGTATGCATAGCCCAGCACTCTGAAACAGCATGTTAGCATCAACTTATTTCTCATTCTCGGTTGGAAGTTTTCATATACTAATTCTTTGCTAGCTGCTTTATTCCAAAGAAACCACAAGAAAGCCATATGCTGTTCAATATTTGAAGTAGTAAATAATGTATCTGTTCATTTCCTTATACTCTCTGCCATCAGCTGAAAATATTGATTATGCATATTAAATAATGCTTTTGTTCAAATATGTGTTCATGCACATACTTATAAATAAAATCAGAACTGAGACCAATATGCAACTTGGATTTCTATTTATTTTTTAACAGTGTGTGTGTGTGTGCATGCGAACATTCTTCCACAGTCTCCCAAATTAAGCTATCACTTTGAAATCAGTCACCCCCAAGGAGCCCTATCAAATCTATGTATTTATGAGTCTGGATTTGGAACAGACTAAAGGCAAACAATCATTTTTAAGGGAGCTGAAAGTTAGTGTGCTCATTTCTTTTAGTCCAGAATCATCACAGGCCAAACAAGTTTACCATGTATTTGCAGCCCCACAAAAACTTATCAAAGACAATAGCAAGATATGACAACACACCACTGAAAACAATGACTTATCTATTTAGTTTTAATAGAAATAGTCAGAAACCACGAATAATCAAGATCAGGCACGCTGAAAACTTCACAGCGAACATGTTCACCAAGCAGATATATTTTTTCAAAATCCCTCAGTTATAGTACACACGAGGCGACCTTAGTTTTGCCAGCTCCAGAACTGGGAAATATGTGGACATTTGGGGAAGTGGAGCCTGAGGAGGGGAGGGTTTGGGAGGGGAGGGACTTTTCAGTGGGGTATGATGTCGTATAGTCCACCTTCCATAGCAGCCATTTTCTTCTGGCGAACTGATCTCTGTCACCTGGAGATCAATTGTAATCCCAGGGGGTCTCCAGCCACCACCGAGAGGTTTGCAACCATATGCAAGCTGCAGATCCCTTCACCTCAGTGTTCCGTGACCATTCGCCTCAACCGTATGCCATGCCAAGCAGCTTTTGCTCAGCCCAAGAATGAAACCGCTTAATGTACCAGAAAAGAGGCAGTATCCCCTGGGTTCATACTCATTCAGGTGACTTGCAATTCATCCTTTCTGCATCTCTGCAGTTGGGTGCATTCTTTAAATCAGAAACAACAGATACACATGCATCCCCTGCTTTTTGCACATATGCAGTCAGCAGCATCTACCGTGTTTCCCCGAAAATAAGACACTGTCTTATATTTATTTTTTCTCAAGAAGACACACTAGGGCTTATACCACAAATGCATAGAAATCCTGCTAGGGCTTATTTTTGGGGTAGGTCTTATTTTCGGAGAAACAGGGTATTTCTGAAACCTATTTATCCATTTGTTTATTTATGTATCTATTTAAAAGATTTGTATGCTGCCTTACCACCCAATTTAGGGTCCCCAATGCAGTGAACCATCAAAACATTGTTAAATATATAAAAACATATATAAAATATTTTTAATATTTAAAACACTTAGATAAAAGAAGAAGGAGAAGAGATTGGATTTATACCCCACCCTTCACTGCAGAAAGGAGTCTCAGAGTGGTTTACAAACTCCTTTCCCTTCCCCTCCCCACAACAGACACCCTGTGAGGTAGGTGGGGCTGAGAGAGCTCTGACAGAAACTGCTCTTTTTTCAAGAACAACTCTTATCAGAGCTACGGCTTGCCCAAGGTCATCCAGCCAGGTGCAAGTGGAGGAGTGGGGAATTGAACCCGGTTCTCCCAGACTAGAGTCCACGCACTTAACCACTACACCAAAATAGCTCTACACTACACCAAACATATAAAACCATATAAAACAACCACTACACCAAACATATAAATGCATAAACACAGAGATGCACTAACAGAGTGGCGGACCAGTGACAGTTTGTAAGGGAATGCCAAACTGCTGGCAAATGACAACAGTGAAGAGGGAGACATGAATCTCCCTGAGAAATGTGTTCCAGAGTTCCACCATGACCAAGAAGGCTCTTTCTCAGGTTTACTTAATTAGTTTATTTATAACCCATTAGTTTATTTATAACCCACCTTTCTCACTGAGACTCACAGTGGATTACAGAGTACAGAAGGGGGTGTAGTCATGCAGTATAAGATGCTGAATGAACAATCCAGTAGGAGTCCAAAACTGAATGACAATACAACCAACAGTACAATGAACAATGCAAAAGAACAATGCACTGCAATACAACTAGGACAGAGAGAAAGCAGAAAGGCTTAATGCCTCCTTTGCCTGCTTTTTTTTCACCTGAAGAGAACAGGCTCATCTAGAGATGGTCCAGGCTGCTGGCTGACATGGACAGAGAGGTAGTTGAGAAGCACCTGGCTGCACTGAATGAGTACAAATCCCCTGGGGCACATGGTATGCACCCAAGAGTGCTCAAAGAACTTTCTAGAGAGCTTGCAGAGCCTTTGTCTATAATCATCCAGACCTCTTGGAGGATGGGAGACTTGCCACAAAACTGGAGGAGGGCATATGTTATTCCAATTTTCAAAAAAGGGAGTAGGGATGACCTAGGATACTACAGGCCAGTCAGTCTAACCTTTGTCCCAGGGAAGATACTGGAGCAGATTTTAAAGGGATCAGTCTGCGAGCATCTAAAGGACAACTTGGTGATCCGGGGAAGTCAGCACGGATTTGACCCAACAGGTCCTGCCAGACCAACCTTATTTCCTTCTTTGACTGAGTGACAAACTTACTGGATCAAGGAAATGCTATTGATGTTGTTTACCTGGATTTCAGTAAAGCTTTTGACAGGGTTCCCCATGATGTTCTGATGGGTAAACTAGAGGACTGTGGACTGGACTGTAGGATGGTTAGGTGGATAGGGAAGTGGTTGGAGAACCACACTCAGAGAGTAGTTGTCGGTGGCATTCCATCCGAATGGAGGGAGGTGTCCAGTGGGGTGCCACAGGGTTTGGTTCTGGGCCCAGTACTTTTCAATATTTTTATAAATGGTCTGGATGAGGGTGTGGAGGGGCTACTCATTAAATTTACAGATGACACTAAATTGGGAGGAGCAGCGAACACACCAGAAGATATAGAATTCAATGAGATCTGAACACACTGGAAAAGTGGGTGGGTGTGAACAAGATGCAATTTAACAAGGATAAATGCTGAGTTCTACACTTGGGTAACAAAAATAAGGAACACACATACCAGATGGGGGATACACTTCTGAGTAGCAGTGTGTGTGAACAAGATGTTGGGGTACAGGTGGACTGAAAGTTAAATATGA